ATATAGATATATATATAGATATATATACAGTCAAACCTCGGTTTTCAAACGTCTCTGTTCTTGACCAAACGGGTTTTCGACCAAAAATTTCGAGTTTTTTTATGCCTCGGATTACGACCGAAATTCTGTTCTCGACCAAACTGAGCACACTTGAATGCGCCACTCGACTTCTCTCGACTTCCTTACCCGAGGAAGTGACGCTTCCTCGGGTTAACGAAGAAATGACACCTCCGTTGTGAGCAGACGTGTTCAATAAAGATTTTTTTTTTTTAAAGAAAGAGCGTCCATTGTGAGCAGACGTGTTCAAAGATTTAAAAAAAAAGAGCGTCCATTGTGAGCAGACGTGTTCAAAGATTTAAAAAAAAAAAGAGCGTCCATTGTGTGTCCATTGTGAGCAGACGTGTTCAATAAAGATTTTTAAAAAAGCAGACGTGTTTCTTGAGATCGACGCAAATTCGACTGTTATTTCTGCATGGCACCAAAGAAAGCAAGTGGAAGTAGTAAAGCCGCTGAAAAAAGAGGAAAATAGTACGCAAAACTATTAAATTTAAGAAAGATTTGATCGTGAAATATGAATCAGTCTGCATCAGATTGGATGACCTGTCTGAACCTGTGTGCCAGTTTGATTGACATCGAAATGAGCCAGTCACCGACCATTTAGTGTAGGCATCCGTGTGAGCAATTTTTCAATTCGCATTCTGTTCTGAGTTGAGCTGGAGACTTCTTCTAATCATCTTAGCGACACTCTTTGTTGTAAACAACTAGCGACAAATTAATCTTTAATTTCTGGTGGGTTTTATTGCTGTAGTTGTAGGACACTAATTAAGTCCCTGGAAAATACGCCTTGTTGGTATGATAGGTTCACAGATCATTTTCTTGAAAAGGAACGGAGAGTAGAAGTCACGTATAAATAAACGGACACATTTTATGATGTCGGCCAAAATTGAGCTTCCCCTCTTTGACAGACCAGCATCCGCCACTGGTAGAATGTAACCCATTTTAATTGGTACGGCACTGTGACGCCACATAACGAACCCTTATGCAGAAGTATGCGATATTTGAACATTTTTGGACTGTTGGACAGTTGTACATCACAGCCAAAAACAGTGAAAAATAACCCCACGAAGCTGAAATTTTGCATAGGATGTCAAAACGGGTCAAAGTTAAAAATGACACCCTGCTGGACATTATTGAACATTACAGTTGGTATATCTTACATCATGGCATTTTTTTTACCTATGAAGCTAGTAAAATGACAAAATTTGGCATATTGACGCCCATTATAAATGCCAATTTTCAATATACTGTAAACCTGGTGTTTTATCATACATTTCTCGCAATTTCTGCAAAAATCACATCACTGACGACCAGTGGCGGACCCTCAGGGCCAGCAAGGCCTTCTCTGCTGGCCTAAACATTCTCAGAAAAGTAAATTTACTTTTCTGAGAATGTTTAGGCCAGCAGAGAAGGCCTTGCTGGCCCTGAGGGTCCGCCACTGGTCGTCAGTGATGTGATTTTTGCAGAAATTGCGAGAAATGTATGATAAAACACCAGGTTTACAGTATATTGAAAATTGGCATTTATAATGGGCGTCAATATGCCAAATTTTGTCATTTTACTAGCTTCATAGGTAAAAAAAATGCCATGATGTAAGATATACCAACTGTAATGTTCAATAATGTCCAGCAGGGTGTCATTTTTAACTTTGACCCGTTTTGACATCCTATGCAAAATTTCAGCTTCGTGGGGTTATTTTTCACTGTTTTTGGCTGTGATGTACAACTGTCCAACAGTCCAAAAATGTTCAAATATCGCATACTTCTGCATAAGGGTTCGTTATGTGGCGTCACAGTGCCGTACCAATTAAAATGGGTTACATTCTACCAGTGGCGGATGCTGGTCTGTCAAAGAGGGGAAGCTCAATTTTGGCCGACATCATAAAATGTGTCCGTTTATTTATACGTGACTTCTACTCTCCGTTCCTTTTCAAGAAAATGATCTGTGAACCTATCATACCAACAAGGCGTATTTTCCAGGGACTTAATTAGTGTCCTACAACTACAGCAATAAAACCCACCAGAAATTAAAGATTAATTTGTCGCTAGTTGTTTACAACAAAGAGTGTCGCTAAGATGATTAGGAGAAGTCTCCAGCTCAACTCAGAACAGAATGCGAATTGAAAAATTGCTCACACGGATGCCTACACTAAAAGGTCGGTGATTGGCTC